GGAAGGAAGGAAGGAAGGAAGGAAGGAAGGAAGGAAGAAAGGAAGAAAGAAAGAAAGAAAGAAAGAAAGAAAGAAAGAAAGAAAGAAAGAAATTAATTTATACCAGCAACAAAGAGAGTGAGCATGCTAAGGTTGTAGGGGAATACTGGGTAATTTTAAAAGAGAACAGAAAAATTCATTATGCTTCTTATCACTCTCCCTAAGAAAGGAATTATAATCCTAAAGTTCATTGGGCTCTATTATCTTCTGAAGTGGATCTGGCCCTCCTGAGTCCTGCACTCTAAGGCAGGTAGAAAGAGTATATGCAAGACAAAGGAGACCTACGGCTGACCACTTGGGCTCAATAGTACATAAAATTAACAGAAATTAAGTCATTATCAAAAATATATGTGAGGAGAGATTATTACTAATCTAAAAGCTTGGACAGAATTCCTTCTCTGTATCATCTATACCATCCAGATAATATTTTGCAAAATGTACTATACTCAAACATGTTTCCTAACCAGGAAACCCAGAAGTGATGCAACCAACAAAACAAAGTTATGACCTGTGCTCAGAAAATAGATGAGGTATGGAGGTAGGTGAGAAAGTGTGAGAGACAGCCATCAGAAGATTCAACACCAGCAGAAAGAGAATGAAACAGGTCAGCCACATACCCGTACTCAGCTAATGTGTCAGAACAGGGGTGGTATCCAAGGCCTTCTGCTATGTGCAGCCTTGGCTGGGCCCAAAGAGTCCAACTACATTAAAGTAGCAGAGGCTGAACAGATCAATCAACTGTTCAGAGACTTTTTGTTCTTGCTTTCTTTGCACAGCACTAATATTTACAACAAATACCATTAATTTTTTACTTAGACTCAGTTCTCTGTGTGCTAAATTAAACATTTAAAATACTAAAACCTATTTCTTTTCTCTCCAGTGCACTGCTCCTACTTGTGTGAAAGTAGTATTTAATTTTCTTCCAAATTTCCTTAAATATTATGGTGATAATTACTTAAATAGTACAATTATCATTCGTGGTTTCTCTTTAGTCACAAAAGCTCATTTATTAGTAGTAGTATAATTTATTAGCTGAATTGCGCTTGGAATCACCACAGATGTTATACAACTTAAAACATACAACCAGTGTTTACCAAATGCCAGGAGAAGAAAAGTCAATGGCCTACTTAATCATTAACTAGGATTGGAATGGAGCCGGAATAGAAACAGATGTGTAAGGAGGTTCTCAAAATAATCTTGGCTGAATTAAGACTGTGGCAATGAAAACAGGAGAGAAGAAGGATGGGCACAATAACCCAGAGGCATATCTATAAAGAATAGGGTCTCAGAGGAGAGATGCCAGAAAACTGCTGGGTTGGTTTTGCTGGCTCCTAGGTTGCTGTTGAGAAGCTATGCAGATGTGAGCAGATGTGAGAAGTAATTTGGGAAGGAATATAATTGTGTCAGTCTTGATTATGTTAGCTCCAAGTTTCCTATAGAAAGTTCATAAATATTAATTGTTTTCTCAAAAGACAGAAGTTCAGGCTAGATAGTTAGGTTTAGGAAGTGGCAAATGGTAGTGGTCTTGAGTGAGACCACTAAGGGTAGAACTGAAATGAAATGGACCAAAGCCAGAATACTGAAGAGCACCGACTTGTACACATTAGACAAATGGAAGGTACATGAAAAAGACATACTGACTCAGAAAAGAAAATGTAACTTGGAAAAAAGAAAAGGTGATCAGCAGCTTCACATGTTACAGTCAAGAAACAAGAAGGCAGAAAATGTGCTTCTGGGTAGAACCATCATGGAAACACCAGGGGTCTCAATAAAGCCAAATTATAGACATGTTTCCAACTAAGCCTAGATACCCTGCAACAGGACACAGAAATAAGGTGTAAAGATCTGTGTCCCTAAGGTACCACAGAAGTGAAATTTCCAGTTGTTTGTCCTCAACTCCTCTCTTGTAAAATAAACAATAAGGTTCACTTTTGCTGAAAACATGGGATCACCCTTTATTCCAACAGATGGGATCTCCCTAACTTACCAGTCCAGCAAACAGATGTCCTAATTTGTCAAATAAATTCCTGTTTTGAGAGGCATTCAATCATTTACTATTTTTATCATAAAATAATATATAAATGCTTTCATACATATAACCTTGAATGCATCACTCATTGCTTATTTAATTTCAACTAATGTAGAAGTAATACAGAAGCCGGGCAGTGGTGGCACATGCCTTTAATCCTAGCACTTGGGAGGCAGAGGGAGGTGGATTTCTGAGCTCAAGGCCAGCCTAGTATACATACAGAGTGAGTTTCAGGACAGTCAGGGCTATCCAGAGAAATCCTGTCTCAAAAAAAAAAA